ACGATAATACACCACAAACGTTTTATTTGCATGCAAATATTGATGTCAAAAATTTTAATAGTAGAGTAAATTCCATAAATCAGAGTCAAAGTACTCAAATTAATTGGATCTTAGATAGTGGTTGTACAGACCACATTATAAACGATGATTCTTATTTCTCAGAATTTAAAAGATTAGAAAGACCAATTTATGTAACTATTGCAGACGGTAGAAAAATAAAGTGTGAAAAAGTTGGAAATATTATAACATCATTTTATCAAAAAAGTTTTAGAACAGAAATAATTATGACAAATGTTTTTTATGTAAAAGAATTGGATAGAAATTTAATAAGTCAAGCAAGAATTACAAATAATAAAAATTTTAAAATCTGATCTCAAGGAAATCGATCTGAAATTTACGATAGAAACAATAATATAATTTGTACTGCGTAGAACGATAATGGTCTATATAAAATTTCGTCATATGTTGATAAAAGAAATATTAGCGTAAATAATTCTGGAATAATAAGTCAAAAAGAAAAATTGCATAGGATTCTTGGCCATGTAAATTTTAATTATTTAGAAAAACTTTGCAAATATGAATTAATCGAAGGACTTCCAAAAAACTTAGAAAAAGAATATATGAAATGTGGAATTTGTATCAAAAACAAAATGCATAATTTACGTTTTGAAAACAATAGAACAAAAGCAACAGAAATCCTTCAATTAGTTCATACTGACTTAAATGGCCCACACAGAAATACGGGGTACGAAGGTTCAAAATATTTTCTCACATTTATTGACGACTTTAGCAAATGCACATTGATTTTTCCAATTCAAAGTAAAACTGAAGTATATCAATGTTTTCTTAAATACATAAATTTAGTAGAAAATTTAACAGGTAAAAAGATTAAAAAATTGAGGTGCGATAATGGTAAAGAATACATAAATAACAATGTTTTTAACTTGATCAGAGATAAAGGTATATTACAAGATATATCTTGAACCTTGCCCACCGTATGTTCATCCACTAAATGGAACAGCGGAGAGATACAATAGAACGGTCATGGATACCGCTAGATGTTTATTATCGGAAGCAAAATTAAATATTAGATATTGGCCTGAAGCAGTAAAAACTGCAGCGTATTTAAAAAATCGTTCAATTGCAAATACACTTCTTAATAAGACACCTTACGAGATATTTTTTGGAAAAAGACCGAGTATGAAGTATTTAAGAACTTTTGGTAGTAAAATCTTTATAAAAACTCCGGAAGAAAAAAGACATTCAAAATAGGACAGAAAAGCTGATATGGGAATTTTAGTTGGATATGATAACGTAGGTTATAGAGTTTTAATGAATGGTAGAATTATAATTGCTAGACACGTAGAAGTAGTTGAAGATGATGTGAAATGGATAGGAATAGATACTGATAATGAGAGTGAAAGTGAATCTGAAACGAGTTATGAAAGTATGAGTGATGATGAAGTATTTTATGATAATGAGAAAATTAAGAAAGAAAACAAATTTAATAAAAGAAAAAAATCTAGCCCAAATTCAAGTGGAAATGATAATGAAAAAGTAAACTTAAAGTTTGAAAGGAGAGAGTCAACGCGAGAGAAAAGAAAACCTAGTTGGTACGGTCAACCAGGGACAAGTTTTATTTATGTAAACACTGTTAGTGCTGATTCACCTAAGACTTATAATGACGCAGTAAATTGTAATGATTCTGCTTTGTGGAATGATGCTATGGCAAAAGAAATTCAAAGTATAGAAAAAAATAAAACTTGGACAAAAGTTGACAAACCAATAGATAAGAAAATTTTAGATTTAAGATGGGTTTACACAAATAAATCTGATGGTAGAAAAAAGGCGAGACTTGTGGTACGTGGATACCAACAAGATCAAATAATTGAAGACATATATTCACCAGTAGCTAGACTGCAAACTTTGAAATTACTTTTAGCTTACTGTAACCAAAATGAATTTTATATTGAACAAATGGATGTTGAAACAGCGTTTTTGAATGGAAAAGTTAAATCTGAAATTTATGTGAAAATACCACAAGGTTATGAAAATGTTAATGAGAATTCTGATAAAGTTTTAAAGTTAGAAAAAGCTTTGTATGGCTTAAGAGAAAGTCCTAGAGCTTGGTACGAATGTTTTGATAATTTTATTAATAGTATGAATTTCAAAAGAAGCGAAAGCGACTATTGTTTATATTATAAAACTGAGAATGGAGAAAAAATTTATATATTATTATTTGTTGATGATATGCTAGTTTGTTCAAAAAATCAAACTGTCATTGATAAAATTAAAAAGAAATTAATGAAAAGATTTGCTATGAAAGATCTAGGTAAAATAAAAACGTATTTAGGAATTTATGTTGAATATGATCTTGAAAAAGGAAAATTGAGCCTTGATCAAACTGATTATATAAACTCATTAGGAAATGTTTATAATTTAGAAAATACTAAACTGTACTCAACACTTATGGAGGAAAGGTTACATATACCTCCAGCACAATCAGCATCTAATGAAATCAAATATAGAAATTTAATTGGAGCACTTTTGTATATCAGTACATTACTCGACCAGATATAAGCTATAGTGTAAATTATTTGAGTAGGTTTCAAAATTGTTATGATAAAACGCATTATAAATATGCTTTAAGAATACTGAAATATTTGTATTTAACCAAAGAAAAAAAATTGAATTTTATAAGAAAATCGAATAATAATAATATTATAGATTGTTATGTTGATGCTGATTGGGCAGGTGACAAAAATAGTAGACAGTCAACGACAGGTTTTGTTATACGTTATTATGGAAATACGATTTTTTGGAAAGTAAAGAAACAAAGTAGTGTAGCTAAATCTTCTACAGCAGCAGAATATGTAGCTTTATCTGATGCTGTTAGTGAGATAAAAGTAATTAAAAATTTATTAAAAGATTTAGACGTAAATATTGTTAAGCCTATAAAGATCTATGAAGATAACTCTGGTGCAATTGCTATTGCCAAATATGGTAATCTCATAAAGAAATCTAAATACATAGAAACACATTTTCATTTTATTAACGAAAGCTACGTAAGAAATGAAATTGATATTGTAAAAGTTGAGAGCGAAAAGAATATTGCGGATATATTTACAAAAGCACTATGTAAAAATAAGTTCGAAATGTTCAGGAAAGATTTAAATATTGTATAACGAATTGTAAGAGAAAGAATGTAAGATTTTTCTGAAACCTGTGAATATTATGGATTTTTTTTGAAAATGTTTACTGTTAAGAAATATAAATTCAAGGAGGTGTGTTAAAATATATGAATTAATATTTCAAGAGTAAAAGATGTATGTAGTAGCGCATGCGCAAAAGCGCATAAGTACGCGGCGAGATGTATCTGTACATAACTATGAGTACAGTCGAAAGAGAGCGTTTGCTTGAGGCAGACCGTGTCTCTAACTATGAGACCCACTTTGTACATATTTGCATGATATTATATTTTATTCAAAAACAAACTCAATCGTTCTTTTATCCCAGTCATTTTTAACACTCTATAAAAATCGGTTGCGTGCATGTATTAACTCTGCGAACAAAGAGCTACGGATGCTCCGGCACTGAATGCTATTGACGCGCGCGCTCTTCGTAGACATAAACACGCGGGCCAAGTATATTGTACAGAATAGGTAAATAAACTAACTCGCATGTGATACAGATCATAATTTCGCTGTTGTTATTTCTAACGAGTAGCAAGTTGGTTGACTGACTCTTATCCCCTCCTGTTCTCCTATTAGCAAATTTGAATATTTCAATAACACCGCGCGTATCTCGATACGATTGCGCGTCACGTGAATAATCGGAATAAAAACGGAGCATTCATCCTGTTATAGTACAATTAAATTTTTTCTCTTACCCGTTGGCATGTGATATTGTTTCGATAATATTTAATTTAAAAAATACAAGTTTTCTATATTTACTGAATGTTATTTTCTATGCCAGATAATTTTGATTTGCAAAGCTGCGTCGTATTGGCCGCTGCTTTGATTGTCAGGGCCGAATGGAGAGGATAACAGCAAACGAGAAGAAAATCTGTGCTCGACCAAAGCGATGCTCTGATTGATCGAATTTTAAATTTTCTAAATTTATTTTCTCGGAAAATATTGAACATAAAAATTTTTCGAAAACGGCAATCGATTCGAAAATTTTTTTTCTATAACCCATTTCCAGGAACTATAATATAACACAGGCGAACAATTTTAAAAATCTGAAACTAGACATATCATACTTAATAGATTTTCATGCGCTGATTTCGAATTTGGGCTTAGAATTACTCTATCATCCTTGGTTTTCCAGATATCTTAACCTAAAAGCATTATTTAAAGATAACTTACTCTAATTTTGCTCTGACATGAGTAAATCATATGTTATCAAAATACGTTAACAAATATTTTTAAAATTTTTTCTCGATCATAACGTTAGCTGACAATATGGTATCAGTTAAGGTTACGACACAATTTTTTCATACATAAAATTATTTAACAAATTATTGAGATTAACATTCACTATCAGAAAAAATTCTAAAATTTAATTGTTGAATTATTTCAAATTCACATATATTACTACACTAACCATTGTTTTTGCAGATAAAAAATTAAACCAATTAACCAATGATGTTACAAATAATCAGAAAGATTTAATAGAATATGAGCAAAAATTAGATTTAGCCAAAAAATATTCGACGGAACTGCAAAATCAACTGAATTCAAACAGAAACGAAACTCAAAAACTTCAGGAATCACTAAAAAGGTATAAATCTTGAAATTTATCATTATTTAATAAATACAAACTGTGTTAAGTGACAACTTTTAAATTCACTTAATCCTGATATATGTAATAATGTAATGTAAAAAAAAAAAATTTTTTTATATGTATTAGTATTATGTATAATTGCGCCGTGCGTATTAGTCGTACGCATTCAGCGCGCGTGGGCGGTTCGGCGGCCGCGTAGTAATGCGGTGACGGCGTAGTAACACTCTCGCGCCGCGTTACTGTATCGCCCACGCCTAACAAAGCAGTCTTGAGCCAGAGTTAATCACGTCCAGTCGTGTCACAGTTCAAATCCTCTTCAGAATTACGTACAATTTTTTATTCGGTTCTTTTCTTACAGTTTTCGTCTCACTTTCTTGTCAACCAGTTTTTATTATTATTATTTCCTAAAATCAGTATATTTATATTCTTTTTATCAGTGATTAACGTATACGCGTGACGAAAGTAACAGCAATAATAAACGTATTATTATATATATTGTTATAACCACTACTAATTAATGAAATAAAATACAACGATATGTAAAAGAAACTAAAACTTGTATTAGAATCGTTGAAAATAGCGTGTGTATATAATATCAGCTCATGAACACAACTAACTAACTAACAATAATACAGATTACTTAGCAACCAAACAATCACTTAGTAACCAACAAATTGGAACGTATCGAATATACTACAATATATATATATATATATATATATATATATATATATACGTATACAGGGTGTCCAAAAAGTAACGATACACCTGAGAAATTTTCTAAGCCAGTTATTTTTTTAACCGGGTGAAGGTTATTCTTGAAGTAACTTTTTACGAGGAATCCGATGGTAACCTTGGATTTGACCTTGAACCTCATTTTCAAGGTTATTTTGAGGTCAACCTCATTTTTTTAAATGGAAACCCCTATTTTTTATGGCGGAATCGGAAAGAGCGGAAAATTTTACGTCCAGATATGTATTGAGGTATGAGGTTGAGGTAACCCCTAGAGGTCAACTGGAGGTCAAAGTATGAATTCTTAAAAATCTCGCGAATTCAGTGGTTAAACAAAACAAACAAAAGGATAACCCCAGGTAACTTTCAACGGTGCTCTTTAATTTGTCCTTGAACCTCATTTTCAAGGTTATTTTGAGGTCAACCTCATTTTTTTTAATGGGTACCCCTATTTTTTATGGCGGAATCGAAAAAAGTGAAGACTCTCACGTATTGATGAGTTGAGGTTTGAGGTTAATGTGATATCTAGGGGTCAGATGAAGGTCGAACTGTGGCTTTGTAATAGTACCGGGATTTTAATGGTACAAGGAAGCAAATAAAGGTCATGGAAACCCCCATTTTCGACAGCGGCAATCGAAAGAGCGGAAAATTTCACATCCAAATATCTACTTAGATCATAAGTCAAGGGCGAACTTAAAGTTTAAGGTCAGTCGAAGGTCATCCAAACTTAAAGACGCCCTAAAATTTTTTAAAGTTTTTTTCATAATGGAGAAGGGTATTTATTTAGTAATTGCCCATCGGAGATCCGTGACCTTGAATTTAACCTTCAAGCTCATTATCAAGGTTTTTTCAAGATCAATTTTTTTTACTTTTAGCGTTACCCAGGAACAACGACGTGGACGTAGTAAAATCTGTCCCTTTGGGGTGCTTTATTTTCGTGAGTTCCCCTCGCCACTCACGATCGGGATGCTTGATTTTCGTGAGTTCCCCTCGCCTATCAACAATGATTTTTTACGCTTATTTTCTTAATAACTTGATTAGCCGGTTAAACTTTTTAAGGTTACTATCCCATACCTATTCATTGAAAATCCACTAACAATTTCACTTGGTTCTATCCTTAGGAAATGTACTATGCCTAACTTTATCGTTTTGAGCTTATTCTTCGGGACAATTACATTTTCAAAAATTAATATTTAAAAAAGCAACATATTTGAAAAGATTTTACCATTCGAAAATCTCCATAAAGCATTAGTGCATTAGTCGGACTGTAGTAGAACTTTTTTGTAAAAGTACTCAAATTATAATTTTCATTTTTTGAAAACATTTATTTGGGTTGCAAACTTTTTGTTTTTAATTCTGATTGATTTTTGAGTAAATTTCGATTCCCTGACTTAAAATGGAACGCCTCACTGAACGAGAAAGAATATCACTTCTTATGATGAGAGGCTGGGGTGGAGTAGAAAGATCTTACAGGGCAGTGAGAAATCTTTTTAATGAGACATTTCGGGTTAATAGAACTCCAATTGCTGTGTCCACTGTTCAGAATACTATTTCAAGGTTTGTAAATTTTGGCCATGTCAGAAATCTACCTAAGTCAGGCAGACCACGCTCAGCAACAAATGAAGAGAATTTATTAAATGTTCTATTATCATTCACTGAAAATCCACATAATTCCATCCGCAGAGTTGCTCAAGAGCATGACATAAGTACATCGTCCGTACATATCATTTTAAAAACAGCAAAATTCCATCCGTTTAAAGTACACCTGGTTCACAAGTTGAATGAAGACGATTTCGATCGTCGTGTTGAGTTTGTGCAAGTAATGTGCAACATTTGTAGATAACATCATCATGTATTGCTGCAATTATCGAGAGACGATGGTGTTCCGAATTACCGCATTGACTCGTAATAATAATAATGATCAGTGAATACGTGACGGATGCGTCAATAGGACAAATGCGCGCGAACAAGTTAACGTATCACAAGTTACCTCGGATTGACTAGTGTCAGGAAAGAGTCTATTTAAGACAGTGCCGTTGAATGTTGTAGACCTAAATCAAGAAATTGCGACACACACGTTATTTAACGAGGGATCTAAGATAACTCTAATCGACTCAAGCTTCGCTGAAAATTAGGTTTAAGGGGGTATCCCTATATAGATCGATCAAAAAATCGATGTTTTTTTATTACATAAATCGAAAGTAGAACATTTCAAAAGTATGCTGTTAAAATTTTAGCGCAAAATTTGAATCCGTTTAGCCGCTATAGGCATATTCGCTAACGTCCTTTAGCGGGTGGTGCGCGCGGCGCAGGTAGGCAGGTAGGCGCTCGGACACAATAGCTCCCCGCTGAGCTGGGATACTTCGATAATGAAAAGAGCAGATGTTCTGTGATTTGTGAGTGTGTTTGTGTGTACCCTAACAAGACTTTACGAGCCAATAGTATAGTAGGATAGACAGTGTACAGTACAGCTATAAACTCGTTTTGGACCATAGGTTCGCTACAGTTGGTTCAGTTTTACTGTAACTGTTGTGCAGTTTGCATCGCTCTCTCTCAACATTCATCATGACATCGTATCCGAAAGGCGAACATGAAAGCAACTATCGTGCAAGCCGTAGAAAGAGATCTTACCATGGTAATCAGCACATGAGTGAAGACGGCGAAGTGAAAGGGGCCAGTGCTAGTGCACGAAAATTAGCAGCAGCAACTGCTGATGACGTGCCAGTCAATCTATCTCACCGATATCGAATAATTGAATTTGTGACTATTTTCTCGGTACTTTCCGAGATGCTGTGCTGTAAAACTTGTAAAGGAGCAGTGAAGTTTGAAGAGACTGGCTTCCGTGGTTTCGGATGGAAACTTTCCGTTTCTTGTAAATGTGGCACGAGTACTATACCTTCTGGCCCCCACATAAACAATGGCTTCGAAGTAAATCGGCGTATAGTGTTTGTGATGAGACTTTTAGGTATTGGTTTGCAAGGAATAAATATGTTTTCTAATTTGATGGATTTTGGTGAAGGACTCAGTAATACAGCATATGACAGTATATTGGAGCACATTCATCAAGCGACAAAACTTTATTTCAAAATAACAAGTCAAAAAGCTGTCGAAGAAGAGAAGAAACTGAACGAGCAATCAGAAAAGCCATTACTTGAAATGAAAGTATCCGGCGATGGATCATGGAAGAAACGAGGCTTCTCTTCAAAAATCGGCGTGACTACGCTGATATTATATGAATGTGGAAAAATTGTCGACTTAGTTGTGAAAAGTACGTTTTGCAAATCGTGTCTAGGATGCCCTTACAAGGAAAACACTCAAGAATATGTCAACTGGTACGAAAATCATGCTGACGAATGTGCTGCAAATCATGAAGGCTCTGCAGGAAAGATGGAGGTCGACGCCGTTTCAGAAATGTTTGAGCATTCGGTTGATGAATACGGCATACGATACACCGTCTACATCGGCGATGGCGACTCGAAAACTTTTACTGCAATTTTGAAAAAGAATCCTTACGGAGATGAATTTCCGGTGGTGAAGTGTGAGTGCATTGGCCACGTTCAGAAGCGAATGGGAACGCGTCTTCGGAATTTGAAAAAAAAAGAGAAATTGGGAGGTAGAGGCAAACTTACTGATGCTCTTATAAAAAAGTTAAGTACTTATTACGGACTCGCCATCTGAAGAAACGTCAACTCAATACAACATATGAAAGAAGCAATATTAGCTACATACTACCATATGTGCTTGACTGACGAAAAACCACAGCATCAGTACTGCCCTCCGGGAATCGATAGCTGGTGTGAGTGGCAACAATCGCAGGTAGTCGCAGCCGGCGTTTTTGAGCATCCACCGGCTCTCCATGAAGATTTACAAAAGCATTTATTGCCCATTTATGAAGATTTATCGAGAGAAGATCTACTGCAAAGGTGCTTGGGCGGACATACCCAAAATGCGAATGAAAGTTTTAATGCTCTTGTATGGCGCTTGGCTCCTAAGCATCTGCACTGTGGTTCAAAAACCGTTGAAATTGCAGCTTGGATTGCTGCTGGATTATTTAATGACGGTTATAAATCAATCCTGTAAACAATGAACATCCTCGAGTTCACTATTGGAGCGCCTACTTACAACTACGCCCAAAAGATGGATGAAAACCGAATAAAGCGTCAAGAGCTGAAGAGTTCGAGTGCCACAAAGGAAGGTAGATTGGCTAAAAAAGCAAGAGCTGCTCCTGAAAAAGATGAAGAAGATGACCTCCTTTATGGCCCAGG